TACCCTGAACACACAAATCCCAAAACCTTCCAACCTCTGATGCCCAAACCTGAACCCTAAGTCCGAAACCCTAAATCCTGAACGCTAAAACTTAAACCCTAAACCCTAAACACTAAATCCTAAACCCTAAACACTAGACCCTAAACCAGCACCTTGGCAGCCAGCAGGGTTGCTGTGACAACGAGCACCTCAAGTCCGCCACGCGGTTTAGGGCTTTAGGTTTAGGGTTTAGGGTTTAGGGTTTACCTGTAACCCCTATAACCTGCAGTTTTATGGGTTATACCCTTAACCCTAAACCTTAAACCCTACGCTCCTAAACCCCAAACCCCTACACCCATTTGCTATTAAGCTGTAGGTTATTGGAGCCTTAGGGATTAGGGCTTCTGCAAGGCAACCTTTTTTGCTTAGAGAAAATGGAGGCTACTGGATATTTTGGGTCTTTTGTGTTTTTCTATTGTCCCCTATTGAGCAGTGGGAAAGTACCAAATTTTTTGGCGGGCTTTAGGCCCAGGAGTGAGCAAAAGGAGCAGAATATGGGAAATGTAGGGACTACTGTAGGGTTAGATTGCTTAAGTCCCTGCCAAGCACCAGGAAGCGACTCTTCAAGCTTTTGACCCTTAAGACGAAAATTTGATGTTTAACTTCCTGCAAGAAACCCGGGAGACATCTGATTTTGTTTTTCGTTCCCATCCTGTCACGACCGTCCGGATCCCTGTGCACAACGAACTCCAAAGCGCCGCGCTTGACAGTTGTGGACACAAGCACCCACCCCGTGCCTTTCAAACCCACCACCCGAAGAAGGCCCAACAAACTTGCATAATCTTCAATCTACTATTACTACTACTGCTATTTACCGCCGTGATCATGTGATCACAAATCAGGATTTTGGGGGTTTTCCTGGCGGAGTGGGATTGCTGAGGGAGACGCGTCTACGAGCTTTCCACTCAAGCTTATGTAGTCATAGTCCCTATATAACCCTATAAAATAACTCCCCATAGAAAACCATACATAATCCCTAAATAACCCCCATATAATCCCTATATAACCCTTATTCAAAACCCTATATCTCTTCCGGAACACGCTCAGCCAACAATTTTCAGGCTCTGGGCTGTGGGATAGCAACTCTCACTTGTGATGACCATCCTCAACCCTAAACCCTAAACCCTAAAATCCTAAATCCTAAGCCCTAAACACCTAAGCCCTAAACCCTAAACCCTAAACCCGAAAGCCTAAACAACATTATTTACTTCGAGCAT